TTTTTTTCCTCATAAATCTACACACAACATCCCATAATGACAAAACAAAAATAGTTTTTTATAATGTCACCACCACGCCTCACAGTAGGGATGGTGCAAGGTTTCCTCCAGACGTGACGCTTGGCATTCAGGCCAAAGAGTTCAATCTTGGTTTCATCAGACCAAAGAATCTTGTTTCTCATGGTCTGAGAGTCCTTCAGGTGCCTTTTGGCAAACTCCAAGCGGGCTGTCATGTGCCTTTTACTGAAGAGTGGCTTCTGTCTGGCCACTCTACCATAAAGGCCTGATTGGTGGAGTGCTACAGAGATGTTTGTCCTTCTGGAAGGCTCTCTCATCTCCACAGAGGAAATCTGAAGTTCTATCAGAGTGACCATTGGGTTCTTGGTTACCTCCCTAACCAAGGCCTTTCTCCCCCTGATTGCTCAGTTTGGCTGGGCGGCAAGGTCTAGGAAGTGTCTTGGTGGTTCCAAACTTCTTCCATTTAAGAATGATGGAGGCCACTGTGTTCTTGGGGACCTGCAATGCTGCAGACATTTTCTGTGCCTCGACACAATCCTGTCTCAGAGCTCTACAGACAATTCCTTTGACCTCATGGCTTGGTTTATGCTCTGACATGCACTGTAGACTTTGGGACCTTATATAGACAGGTGTGTGCCTTTCTAAATCATGTCCAATCAACAATTTACCACAGGTGGACTCTAATCAAGTTTTAGAAACATCTCAAGGATGATCAATGGAAACAGGATGCACCTGAGCTCAACTTTGAGTCTCATATCAAAGGGACTGAATACTTAATAAATAAGATATTTCTGTTTTTTATTTGTAATGGATTTGCAAAAAAATCTAAAAACCAGTTTTTGCTTCGTCATTATGGGGTATTGTGTGTAGAGTGATGATAATTAATTTAATCCATTTTAGAATAAGGCTGTCACGTAACAAAATGTGGAAAAAGTCAAGGGGTCTGAATACTTTCCGAAAGCACTGTATAAGCTGGAAGTAGAAGCCTAAGTGTTGTTGTCAATTAGTTTACTCCAATTAGGGGTGGTAGAGTTAGGGGAAAATAATAGCCAAATATATTTAAACTCAGTTTTTCACAATTCCTGACATTTAATCCTAGTAAAATGTCCCTGTCTTAGGTCAGTTAGGATCACCACGTTATTTTAAGAATGTGAAATGTCAGAATAATAGTAGAGAGAATGATTTATTTTAGCTTTTATTTCTTTCATCACATTCCCAGTGGGTCAGAAGTTTACATACACTGAATTAGTATTTGGTAGCATTGCCTTTAAATTGTTTAACTTGGGTCAAATGTTTCGGGTAGCCTTCCACAAGCTTCACACAATAAGGGGTGAATTTTGGCCCATTCCTCCTGACAGAGCTAGTGTAACTGAATCAGCTTTGTAACTGAATCAGGCCTCCTTGCTCGCACACGCTTTTTCAGTTCTGCCCACACATTTTCTATAGGATTGAGGTCAGGGCTTTGTGATGGCCACTCCAATACCTTGAATTTGTTGTCCTTAAGCCATTTTGCCACAACTTTGTAAGTATGCTTGGGGTCATTGTCCATTTGGAAGACCCATTTGCGACCAAGCTTTAACTTCCTGACTGATGTCTTGAGATGTTGCTTCAATATATAATAATTCATAATTTTCCTTCCTCATGATGCCATCTATTTTGTGAAGTGCACCAGTCCCTCCTGCAGCAAAGCATTCCCACAGCATGATGCTGCCACCCCCGTGCTTCACAGTTGGAATGGTGTTTTTTGGTTTGCAAGCCTTCCCCTTTTTCCTCCAAACATAACGATGGTCATTATGGCCAAACAGTTCTATTTTTGTTTCATCAGATCAGAGGAAATTTCTTCCAAAAGTACGATCTTTGTCCCCATGTGCAGTTGCAAACCGTAGTCTTATGGCGGTTTTGGAGCAGTGGTTTCTTTCTTGCTGAGCGGCCTTTCAGGTTATGTCGATATAGGACTTGTTTTACTGTGGATATACAGTGAGGGAAAAAGTATTTGATCCCCTGCTGATTTTGTACGTATGCCCACTGACAAAGAAATTATCAATCTATAACTTTAATGGTAGGTTTATTTGAACAGTGAGAGACAGAATAACAACAAAAAAATACAGAAAAACTTATGTCAAAAATTTTATAAATTGATTTGCATTTTAATGAGGGAAATAAGTATTTGACCCCCTATCAATCAGAAAGATTTCTGGCTCCCAGGTGTCTTTTATACAGGTAACGAGCTGAGATTAGGAGCACACTCTTAAAGGGAGTGCTCCTAATCTCAGCTTGTTACCTGTATAAAAGACACCTGTCCACAGAAGCAATCAATCAATCAGATTCCAAACTTTCCACCATGGCCAAGACCAAAGAGCTCTCCAAGGATGTCAGGGACAAGATTGTAGACCTACACAAGGCTGGAATGGGCTACAAGACCATCGCCAAGCAGCTTGGTGAGAAGGTGATAACAGTTGGTGCGATTATTCGCAAATGGAAGAAACACAAAATAACTGTCAATCTCCCTCGGCCTGGTGCTCCATGCAAGATCTCACCTCTTGTAGTTGCAATGATCATGAGAACGGTGAGAAAGCAGCCCAGAACTACACGGGAGGATCTTGTCAATGATCTCAAGGCAGCTGGGACCATAGTCACCAAGAAAACAATTGGTAACACACTACGCCGTGAAGAACTGAAATCCTGCAGCGCCCGCAAGGTCCCCCTGCTCAAGAAAGCACATATACAGGCCCGTCTGAAGTTTGCCAATGAATATCTGAATGATTCAGAGGAGAACTGGGTGAAAGTGTTGTTGTCAGATGAGACCAAATCGAGCTCTTTGTTATCAACTCAACTCGCCATGTTTGGAGGAGGAGGAATGCTGCCTATGACCCCAAGAACACCATCCCCACCGTCAAACATGGAGGTGGAAACATTATGCTTTGGGTGTGTTTTTCTGCTAAGGGGACAGGACAACTTCACCGCATCAAAGGGACGATGGACGGGGCCATGTACCGTCAAATCTTGGGTGAGAACCTCCTTCCCTCAGCCAGGGCATTGAAAATGGGTCGTGGATGGGTATTCCCGCATGACAATGACCCAAAACACACAGCCAAGGCAACAAAGGAGTGGCTCAAGAAGAAGCACATTAAGGTCCTGGAGTGGCCTAGCCAGTCACCAGACCTTAATCCCATAGAAAATCTGTGGAGGGAGCTGAAGGTTCGAGTTGCCAAACGTCAGGCTCGAAACCTTAATGACTTGGAGAAGATCTGCAAAGAGGAGTGGGACAAAATCCCTCCTGAGATGTGTGCAAACCTGGTGGCCAACTACAAGAAACATCTGACCTCTGTGATTGCCAACAAGGGTTTTGCCACCAAGGACTAAGTCATGTTTTGTAGAGGGGTCAAATACGTATTTCCCTCATTCAAATGTAAATCAATTTATAACATTTTTTACATGCGTTATTCTGGATTTTTTTGTTGTTATTCTGTCTCTCACTGTTCAAATAAACCTACCATTAAAATTATAGACTGATCATGTCTTTGTCAGTGGGCAAACGTACAAAATCAGCAGGGGATCAAATACTTTTTTCCCTCACTGTATGCCTGTAAGAGGATAGTATGCCATGCAAGGTAAATATGATGTGAAATGCTATATTGACTCGTATTGCTGAATCGTCAGACAGCCTTTTACTACATTCACTTAATGCAATAGCTTTTTGGGATATGGTGAAGGTATAAAGTTATCACCCATGATAGAGGTGCTAGGGATTTACTTCCTGTCATATTGCCTGTCTGTCATGTTATATGACTTGGTTCTGTGTCAGCATGTCTGTGATGAGGGAGACATTTAGAGGGGAGGTAGATATGAACACAAGGAAGGAGATAAGGGGGATGGGTGGGAAGATACGGGGTGTGGGGGAGGGGGTTGGTGGGGGGGGTATGGGTGGGGAGGAGGGGGAGGACTGGGTGGGAAGAAGTGGGGTGGGGGGGCTTAGTTGTTTTGTCTGAAGTCTGGGTTTTTCCTTTTCATTTACATTTCATACTGTTTTTGATGTATCCATTTGTTTTCTATGTTAAACTCCTGCACCTTGCTGTAAATCTTCTGCTGTAATTCTTTGTATGTTCATCTTGTCATTTAGATTAAAAAATGGAGCTTACTCACAGTTTTACCTCTGCTCTACATTAAAACATATTTGAGTTAATAGATATTGCAACCACTAAACTATATAACTATGTACCGGTATGTAGAGCTTCAAGATACCACATTTATTAAGATAACATAAGTCATCAACCATAATGAATAAACTCATTACTCTACTAACATTGCAATGATTAAAACTCTGTGAACTTACTCCAGTCCATTCAGCTACAGTCTACTCCTACTCTGTTGGCAACATTTCCAAAGGAAAGGATTGACATGTTCCTCCTTCTCTTGTGATATAGCAAAGAAGAAGGAGGTGACTGTGGACTCCCCAACTGAACATCCCTCTCAAACATTACAGTGAAGGGAGAGAGACAGAGAGAGAGAGACAGAGACAGAGACAGAGAGAGAGAGAGAGAGAGAGAGAGAGAGAGAGAGAGAGAGAGAGAGACAGAGAGAGAGAGAGAGAGAGAGAGAGCGAGAGAGCGAGCGAGGGAGAGAGAGAGAGAGAGAGAGAGAGAGAGAGAGAGAGAGAGAGAGAGAGAGAGAGAGAGAGAGAGATTACTACATGGTGAAACTTGGAAGCCTCTGCTTCCGTTGTTCTGTTGTTTATTTCACTTTTGTTTATTATCTATTTCACTTGCTTTGGCAATGTAAACATATGTTTCCCATGCCAATAAAGCCCTTTGAATTGAATTGAATTGAGAGAGTGAGAGAGACAAGCAAAGCTATGTCAGGAAACCTTAAGGCCTGACAACCTTGGAGTACATCAAATGTAAACCAAACTCCCAGCAGGTGGAAGCCTTATCTAGCCCGCCAATTAGCCCAGTTGGCTGCGCCGAGGTGTGCCCGCAGACGTAATGCCGACGTAAATGGAGCCCTTATCTGGGAACAACAAGACTGGAGGGGGTGCCTTGACGCTGACAACACCGCTACAGAGTGGTACTCGTTCTCTCTCTCTCTCCCTATGCTTCCAAGTTTCACCATGTAGTAAGCTCTCTCTCTCCCTCTCTCTCGTTTGGCTTGACCTCCATGTTTCTCAAGGCAGATGGTGGGAAAGAAGGGAAGTTGCAACCGGTTGCACAGGAATCTCCTACTACCTGAAGCTTGAATACATCATCCCTTTCAATATACTCTCGCTATTTGGGCGACCCGACCAAATTCACATAGAAATTGCTTGTTTTGTCACTTAAACTGAAATTAGGCGAACTATTAGAATTTTAGCAACAAGGAAATGGCGGTGCGATTTCTGCATAGTGCACTTTTAACATAAGCACCAATTAACTATCTGTGTCTTGCACAGCTGCAGAGGCCCGATTACCAAAATAAACAAGGTGGAAAAACGGTGAGACAGGGCCACAAACATAAAACACCAAACAAAAGTTGAGAGAGCTCAGAGGAGAGAAACACGGTGTGATGATCAAAGTGTCCCTTCTTCGCTTGCATCTGGGGCCTGTTTGGTTTCAAAGCACGCTGCGCCCATCTAACTTGATTTCAAGATGTGGAGACAAGAGGTAGAGGGATCAGGGAAATGATACCCAAGGACAACAAAGTGCTGCTATCAAATGCACATCACAGCGATGGTCCCTGGGAAGGCGGGCTGCAGCACCCTGGACCCTCTGAAGACTAATTTATTGCCTCTCTGAGATCTCCTCCGAACAGCACAACATAAAAGTCTCCAACTCTGATGATGGATTCATAAAGGCGTGCTTAGCATGCGTCGGTCGAGGCTACCCGGGGCCACAGACACACATAAGCAGCATAGTGATGTCCAAGATGGCGTAGCAGTGCGGTCGTGTATTCTGTGTTGTGCTCGTGTAAATAGCCAGTTTTTTTGTTTCTTATCGTATATATTTCTCAATCTCACTTTTCATCCTTCAACTAAATATACTTTCCTGCAACCCGCCTCACCCAATGTGGAACGGATTCTATTACTTCTTATACCTTTTTATCCAGAACCTCAGGCTGAAGCTAGCCAGCTAACTAGCTACTTGCTATTAGCCACTGTTAGCGGTTTTCACCATTGTCCGTGGCCTGCACTACCTACCAGCCAGCTCTAGCCTGGACAATTATCGGCCAGTCTGCAGAGTCTGCACAGCGCGCTATCGACACAGAACATATCGGATTTTCTGCCGGAATCACTGAATCACTGGACCTTAACACCGGATCATCACAACTAGCTAGCTGCAACCGAATGGATGTTGTTGCTGGCTAATCACCACTACCCCGAAGCAAGCACCAGTTAGCCTTGAGCTAGCCTTGAGCCAGGCCCATCTCCCGGCTATCTACCTCTCTGTCAACCGGATGGGACCTCCTAGTGTCGACATGGAGCCCCGCCGATCCATCACGAATGGTCTGCCGACGTAATTCGTCTGATGTGGTTTCAACAGGCTTCCAGTTGCGACGACCACTAAGATCCATCTGCTAGCCCCGGCCCGCTAGCACACACAATCAACAGCCGTGCCTCCTGCTCACCTGTGCCGTAGCAGCCATCAAACTGCTCCCGGACTCACCTATCGCTGTTCACTGGACCTTATGATCACTCAGCTACACAGCTGATGCCTGCTGGACCATTCCTTTACACGGTACCCCATCCTGTTTATCTGTCCTGTTTATCTGTTTAGCCTCAGCCCAAACTTTCGTCGCCATTACCAGTTGTTGTCTTAGCTCTCTCGAATAACACCTGTGATTGCTTTATGCCTCTCTCCCATTTCAATATGCCTTGCCTATTGCTGTTTCTGTTAGTTCTTATTATACAATTTCACTGTAGAGCCCCCAGTCCCGCTCAACCTGCCTCAGATAGCTCCGTTGTCCCACCCCCCATACACGGAGACCGGCTCAATCGGTGCCTCCAGTGATGCTATCTCTTTCATCTTTACCCAACGCTTAGGTTTACCTCCACTGTACTCATATCCTTCCATATCCTTGTCTGTACATAATGCCCTGAATCAATTCTACAACGCCTGGAAATCTGCCCCTTTTATTCTCTGTACCCAACGCACTAGAAGATCAGTTCTTATAGCCTTTAGCTATATCCTTATTCTACTCCTCCTCTGTTCCTCTGGTGATGTGGAGGTTAACCTCCAGTAGCCCCCAGTATCACTCCTACTCCCCAGGTGCTATCATTTGTTGACTTCTGGAACCGTAAAAGCCTTGGTTTCTTGCATGTTAACATCAGAAGCCTCCTCCCTAAGTTTGTGTTATTCACTGCGTTAGCACACCCCGCCAACCCTGATGTTCTAGCAGTGGCTAGGAAACACTGTCACCACCGATAAATCTACGATAATCGAGAATTTCAATAAGCATTTTGCCACGGCTGTCCATGCTTTCCACCTGGCTACCCCTACCCCGGCCACCAGCTCTGCACCCTCCGCTGCAACTTGCCCATGCCCCCCCCCCCCCCCCCACCCGCTTCTCCTTCACCCAAATTCAGATAGCTGATGTTCTAAAAGAGCTGCAAAATCTGGACCCCTACAAATCAGCTGGGCTAGACAATCTGGACCCTTTCTTTCTCAAATTAGCCGCCGAAATTGTAGCAACCCCTATTACTAGCCTGTTCAACCTCTCTTTCGTATCATCTGAGCTCACTAGAGATTGGAAAGCTGCCGCGGTCATCCCCCTCTTCAAAGGGGGTGACACTCTAGATCCAAACTGTTACAGACCTATATCCATCCTGCCCTGCCTTTCGAAAATATTTGAAAGCCAAGTGAACAAACAGATCACCGACCATTTCGAATCCCACCGTACCTTCTTCACTATGCAATCTGGTTTCTGAGCTGGTCATGGGTGCACCTCAGCCACGCTCAAGGTCCTAAACGATATTATAACCGCGATCGATTAAAAGACAGTACTGTGCAGCCGTCTTCATCGACCTGGCCAAGGCTTCACCGCATTCTTATTGGCAGACTAAATAGCCTTGGTTTCTCAAATGTCTGCCTCGCCTGGTTCACCAACTACTTCTCAGATAGAGTTCAATTTGTCAAATCGGAGGGCCTGTTGTCTGGACCTCTGGCAGTCTCTATGGGGGTGCCACAGGGTTCAATTCTCGGGCCGACTCTTTTCTCTGTGTATATCAATGATGTCGCTCTTGCTGCTGGTAACTCTCAGATCCACCTCTACGCAGACGACACCATTTTGTATACATCTGGCCCTTCATTGGACACTGTGTTAACAAACCTCCAAATGAGCTTCAATGCCATACAACACTCCTTCCGTGGCCTCCAACTGCTCTTAAACACTAGTAAAACTAAATGCATGCTCTTCAATCGAGCACTACTTGCACCCGCCTGCCCGACTAGAATTACTACTCTCGGCGGCTCTGACTTAGAATATGTGGACAACTACAAATACCTAGGTGTCTGGTTAGACCGTAAACTCTCCTTCCAGACTCACATTAAGCATCTCCAATCCAAAGTTAAATCTAGAATCAGCTTCCTATTTCGCAACAAAGCCTCCTTCACTCATGCTGCTAAACATGCTCTCATAAAACGGACTATCCTACCGATCCTTGACTTCGGCGATGTCATTTACAAAATAGCTTCCAACACTCTACTCAGCAAATTTAATGTAGTCTATCACAGCGCCATCCGTTTTGTCACCAAAGCCCCATATACTACCCACCATTGTGACCTGGATGCTCTCGTTGGCTGGCCCTCACTACATATTCGTCGCCAAACCCACTGGCTCCAGGTCCTCTATAAATCACTGCTAGGCAAATCCCCCCTTATCTTAGCTCATTGGTCACCATAGCAACACCCACCCGTAGTCTATAATTTTAATGGTAGGTTAATTTGAACAGTGGGAGACAGAATAACAACAAAAAATTCCAGAAAAACACATGTCAAAAATGTTATAAATTGATTTGCATTTTTAATGAGGGAAATAAGTATTTGACCCCTCTGCAAAACATGACTTAGTACTTGGTGGCAAAACCCTTGTTGGCAATCACAGAGGTCAGATGTTTCTTGTAGTTGGCCACCAGGTTTGCACACATCTCAGGAGGGATTTTGTCCCACTCCTCTTTGCAGATCTTCTCCAAGTCATTAAGGTTTTGAGCCTGACGTTTGGCAACTCAAACCTTCAGCTCCCTCCACAGATTTTCTATGGGATTAAGGTCTGGAGACTGGCTAGGCCACTCCAGGACCTTAATGTGCTTCTTCATGAGCCACTCCTTTGTTGCCTTGGCCATGTGTTTTGGGTCATTGTCATGCTGGAATTCCCATCCACGAACCATTTTCAATGCCCTGGCTGAGGGAAGGAGGTTCTCACCCAAGATTTGACGGTACATGGCCCCGTCCATCGTCCCTTTGATGCGGTGAAGTTGTCCTGTCCCCTTAGCAGAAAAACACCCCCAAAGCATAATGTTTCCACCTCCATGTTTGACGGTGGGGATGGTGTTCTTGGGGTCATAGGCAGCATTCCTCCTCCTCCTAAACACGGCGAGTTGAGTTGATGCCAAAGAGCTCCATTTTGGTCTCATCTGACCACAACACTTTCACCCAGTTCTCCTCTGAATCATTCAGATGTTCATTGGCAAACTTCAGACAGGCCTGTATATGTGCTTTCTTGAGCAGGGGGACGTTGCGGGCACTGCAGGATTTCAGTCCTTCACGGCGTAGTGTGTTACCAATTGGTTTCTTGGTGACTATGGTCCCAGATGCCTTGAGATCATTGACAAGATGCTCCTGCGTAGTTCTGGGCTGCTTCCTCACCTTTCTCATGATCATTGCAACACCACGAGGTGAGATCTTTCATGGAGCCCCAGGCCGAGGGAGATTGACAGTTGTTTTGTGTTTCTTCCATTTGCAAATAATCGCACCAACTGTTGTTACCTTCTCACCAAGCTGCTTGGCGATGGTCTTGTAGCCCATTCCAGCCTTGTGCAGGTCTACAATCGTGTCCCTGATATCCTTGGAGAGCTCTTTGGTCTTGGCCATGGTGGAGAGTTTGGAATCTGATTGATTGATTGCTTCTGTGGACAGGTGTCTTTTATACAGGTAACAAACTGAGATTAGGAGCACTCCCTTTAAGAGTGTGCTCCTAATCTCAGCTCGTTACCTGTATAAAAGACACCTGGGAGCCAGAAATCTTTCTGATTGAGAGGGGTTTAAATACTTAGTTCCCTCATTAAAATGCAAATCAATTTATAACATTTTTGACATGCGTTTTTCTGGATTTTGTTGTTGTTATTCTGTCTCTCACTGTTCAAATTAACCTACCATTAAAATTATAGACGGATAATTTCTTTGTCAGTGGGCAAACTTACAAAATCAGCAGGGGATCAAATACTTTTTTCCCTCACTGTATATCTCACTGGTCATCCCCAAAGCCAACACCTCCTTTGGCCGCCACTCCTTCCAGTTCTCTGCTGCTAATGACTGGCACGAACTGCAAAAATCTCTGAAGCTGGAGACTCTTATCTCCCTCACTAACTTTAAGCATCAGTTGTCAGAGCAGCTTAACGATCACTGCACCTGTACACAGCCCATCTGTAATTAGCCCACCCAACTACCTCATCCCCATATTGTTATTTATTTTGCTAATTTGCACCCCAGTATCTCTATTTGCACATCATCTTCTGCACATCTATCACTCCAGTGTTAATACTAAATTGTAATTATTTTGCACTATGGCCTATTTATTGCCTTACCTCCATAACTTACTACATTTGCACACACTGTATATAGATTTTCTATTGTGTTATTGACTGTATATTTTTGTTTATCCCATGTGTAACTCTGAGTTGTTGTTGTTTTTATCGCACTGCTTTGCTTTATCTTGGCCAGGTCACAGTTGTAAATGAGAACTTGTTCTCAACTGGCCTACCTGGTTAAATAAAGGTGAAAAAAATATTTTAAAAGTCTCTGTTCGCAGCAGGGCCACTTATGGAACATTCATGTGGACTCAGTCTCCATGTGGACTCAGCTGGTTTCATTTCATCTCTTCACATTCCCACTAATAGGCTTTTATTTTTACTCTATATTGATACTCACCCAAGACAAGAACTCAACTAAGTGAATCCCCTTTGCAAAATGAAACCCCTTCAAAGTTTACTAACAGCTGTCCATGGTAACCCTAAAGTGTTCTCCGCTAACCCTAATGCGATGTACGGTTGTCTATACCCCTCACACATGCTTAAGTGAGGGACTCAAGGCTGTACTTATGTCTGTCCATAAATTAAGGAGTGCTTCAACTGCTGAACATATTAGTATGTGTCAGTGGGTTCAGACGTGTGCATGCAACTGATTGACCTGCCACAGTGTGTGTGTGTTTCCTCCTTGCATGTCCTCAGTGCTGCTTAATGTGTTATGGTTCTGAGTCTTTATGACTAATTGTCATGTCTATAGAAGGATTAGGAGTGGTCTGTCTGTCTGTCTATTTGCTAACCGGCCCAGACTATGAGCACCAGACAGACCCTGGTCAATGGCTCCAGTCTCCTCCAGTTTCTGCGTGACACAAATACAATGTTGGTCAGTTGGTTGGTTGTGATGCTCGTTATTCACCATGACCACGTTTTCCTCCATTGCAAAAGGCCTCATGACAAACGGAACAATAACGGAAACAATAACACTAGCATCCACCACTTCCACCCTGGTGAGACCAAAATATGTGCCGCCCGCCTAATACGAGCCAGCTGTGTTCTGGCTGGAGGGAATTAAAACATGGCCTATACAAATCCCATTGCCAAAGGGAGTACAGACACTCAGGGAAAGTATGTGGTGCTGGCCGGGTGATATTTGTCAAGTCATACTTGTTTAGGAAAGATGCAAAAATTACAACAATGCCATTGGTTAACAAGGAGGGCTTTTTTGTGGTAATTGAAAATACTGAACTCATGAAAGTGTGGTCAGAAAATGATGAGGTCAACTGGGTTAGAACGAGCTGCGAGTCAGACGGAGAACAATGTACAGTGGGGTAAAAAAGTATTTAGTCAGCCACCAATTGTGCAAGTTCTCCCACTTAAAAAGATGAGAGAGGCCTGTAATTTTCATCATAGGTACACGTCAACTATGACAGACAAATTGAGGAAAAAAAATCCAGAAAATCACATTGTAGGATTTTTTATGAATTTATTTGCAAATTATGGTGGAAAATAAGTATTTGGTCACCTACAAACAAGCAAGATTTCTGGCTGTCACAGACCTGTAACTTCTTCTTTAAGAGGCTCCTCTGTCCTCCACTCGTTACCTGTATTAATGGCACCTGTTTGAACTTGTTATCAGTATAAAAGACACCTGTCCACAACCTCAAACAGTCACACTCCAAACTCCACTATGGCCAAGACCAAAGAGCTGTCAAAGGACACCAGAAACAAAATTGTAGACCTGCACCAGGCTGGGAAGACTGAATCTGCAATAGGTAAGCAGCTTGGTTTGAAGAAATCAACTGTGGGAGCAATTATTAGGAAATGGAAGACATACAAGACCACTGATAATCTCCCTCGATCTGGGGCTCCACGCAAGATCTCACCCCGTGGGGTCAAAATGATCACAAGAACGGTGAGCAAAAATCCCAGAACCACACGGGGGGACCTAGTGAATGACCTGCAGAGAGCTGGGACCAAAGTAACAAAGCCTACCATCAGTAACACACTACGCCGCCAGGGACTCAAATCCTGCAGTGCCAGACGTGTCCCCCTGCTTAAGCCAGTACATGTCCAGGCCCGTCTGAAGTTTGCTAGAGTGCATTTGGATGATCCAGAAGAGGATTGGGAGAATGTCATATGGTCAGATGAAACCAAAATATAACTTTTTGGTAAAAACTCAACTCGTCGTGTTTGGAGGACACATCCAAAGAACACCATACCTACTGTGAAGCATGGGGGTGGAAACATCATGCTTTGGGGCTGTTTTTCTGCAAAGGGACCAGGACGACTGATCCGTGTAAAGGAAAGAATGAATGGGGCCATGTATCGTGAGATTTTGAGTGAAAACCTCCTTCCATCAGCAAGGGCATTGAAGATGAAACGTGTCTGGGTCTTTCAGCATGACAATGATCCCAAACACACCGCCTGGGCAACGAAGGAGTGGCTTCGTAAGAAGCATTTCAAGGTCCTGGAGTGGCCTAGCCAGTCTCCAGATCTCAACCCCATAAAAAATCTTTGGAGGGAGTTGAAAGTCCGTGTTGCCCAGCGACAGCTCCAAAACATCACTGCTCTAGAGGAGATCTGCATGGAGCAATGGGCCAAAATACCAGCAACAGTGTGTGAAAACCTTGTGAAGACTTACAGAAAACGTTTGACCTGTGTCATTGCCAACAAAGGGTATATAACAAAGTATTGAGAAACTTTTGTTATTGACCAAATACTTATTTTCCACCATAATTTGCAAATAAATTCATTAAAAATCCTACAATGTGATTTTCTAGATTTATTTTTCTCATTTTGTCTGTCATAGTTGACGTGTACTTATGATGAAAATTACAGGCCTCTCTCATCTTTTTAAGTGGGAAAACTTGCACAATTGGTGGCTGACTAAATACAATTATCCTATCAGAAGCTTCTAAAGCCATGACATCATTTTCTGGAATTTTCCAAACTGTTTAAAGGCACAGTCAACTTAGTGTATGTAAACTTTTGACCCACTGGAATTGTGATACAATTAATTATAAGTTAAATAATCTGTCTGTAAACAATTGTTGGAAAAGTTACTTGTGTCATGCACAAAATAGATGTCATAACCGATTTTCCAAAACTATAGTGTGTTAACAAGACATTTGTGGAGTGGTTGAAAAACAAGTTTTAATGACTCCAACCTAGTGTATGTAAACTTCCGACTTCAACTGTACAAACAACCAAGTAGCAGCCAGACAGCCTTGGAGCGGAGCGATGGATAGAACGGGAGGAAAAGACAAAGGGAATCAGAGAGGCAAGACAGATAGATACTGTGAGAGATGGATGGACGGAGAGAGCAAGAGAGAGAGAGAGGGATTGTGTGGAGGGTTGGGTGTATGTTGCCAGTATGTTACCCTCTGTTTTTACATTCTCGTGGCAAGCCAGACCACAGCGCTCTCTTTGTTCTCCCAGGCGATCCTTATCAATGCCAGTGGTGAAGCCTGCTACCGCAGACTCCCAGTCTATCCACTCACACTCCACTCAGCTGCACTGTGGGTTACAGGCACATTCATCCAGATCCAGCTAGCGCATCTGATCGGCCATCTTGGATCTTGGATGGGAGTCTGATCAACAGGCTTTGTATGCCTGACTGTATTGTTAACATCACTACGGGGAAGAAAGCAGCCAAAATACCTTTTGTGGTCATCTTTGGGGAAAAAACACAAAGGCTAGAGAAAGTTTCTGTTGTAGTCTCCTTTCACTATAATAATGAGAGCTTTTGTCCCACTGTTGGTCTTTGAGAGGCTTAATTTCAGAGTGGGGGTTTTAATATAGAATAGCACTGTGATTAAGCTGCGGAGCAAAGTACCTGTCTTCGATGCCAACCACTTAAACAACCAAAAACAGCAACGCGCTGGCAAGCTGCGTTATTATTCTAGATGAATAACAAGATCGGACAAACTATGCGAACAATGTCTTAACAGGCTGCATTACAAACAAAACAATCAGTTGGTGGTATTAAAACACAGGCTCTTCAAACAAAAGGCAGACTTACAGAAAGCAAGACATTAAAATGGGGCTCTGCCAGTGAAATAGCATTGCGAAACAGTGGAAGGAAAATGCATGATAGACCATATGACCAAAAGTATGTGGACACCTGCTCGTCGAACATCTCATTCCAAAATCATGGCCATTAAAATGGACTTGGTCCCCCCTTTGCTGCTATAACAGTCTCCACTCTTCTGGGAAGGCTTTCCACTAGATATTGGAATATTGCTGTGAGGACTTGCTTCCATTCAGCCACAAGAACATTAGTGAGGTCAAGCACTGATGTTGGGGAATTAGGCCTGGCTCGCAGTCGGCGTTCCAATTCATCTCAAAGGTGTTCGATGGGGTTGAGGTCAGCACTCTGTGCAGGCCAGTCAAGTTGTTCCACACGTTCTCGACAAACCATTTCTGTATGGACATCGCTTTGTGCATGGGGGGCATTGTCATGCTGAAACAGGAAAGGACCTTCCACAAAGTTGAAAAACAGTCCCAGACCATTATTCCTCTATGCATTCGGGCAAGTAGCGTTCTCCTGGCATCCGCCAAACCCAGATTCTTCCGTCGAACTGCCAGATGGTGAAGCGTGATTCATCACTCCAGAGAACGCGTTTCCACTGCTCCAGAGTCCAATGGCGGTGAGCTTTACATCACTCCAGCCAACGCTTGGCATTGCACATGGTGATCTTAGGCTTGTGTGCGGAAACCCATTTCATGAAGCTCCCGACAAACAGTTATTGTGCTGACATTGCTTCCAGAGGCAGTTAGTGTTGTGAGTGTTAGTTAGTGAGTGTTGCAACCGAGGACAGACCATTTTTACTCACTACACGCTACAGCACTCAGCGGTCCCGTTCTGTGAGCATGTGTGGCCTACCACTTCGCAGCTGAGCCGTTGTTGCTCCTAGACGTTTCCACTTCACAATAACAGCACTTACAGTTGACCTGGGCAGCTCTAACATGGCAGAAATTTGACGAACTGACTTGTTGGAAAGGTGGCATCCTATGAAGGTGCCACATTGAAAATCACTGAGCTCTTTAGTAAGACCATTCTACTGGCAGTGTTTGTCTATGGAGATTGCATGGCAGTTTGCTCAATTTTATACACCTGTCAGCAACGGGTGTGGCTGAAATAGCCGAATCCACTAATTTGAAGGGGTGTCCACATACTTTGTATATATAGTGTATTTGTTGTTTTGCATTTTCAATCATGAACAATATTCATTTTCACTGATGTATTCTTCTGGACAAACCGTCCTATTCCCATCGGTTTTGCAGTTTAGATAATGGTCAATTTTGATGATTCACAGAAATGAGTTTAAAAAAACAGTCAGTCCAAATATTTTTTTTTTTTAGAACATTACTTTGTTTTCATTCATCTTCCCCAACACACTTTTATCGATGAGCCACCATTTCAACTTAAAGTATAGACCCTAGAAATAGAATGCAAAGATTAACAAGTACTGCTTGACTTTATCCATGCCAATGGACCATCAAGGTATGGTTAATTTGGGATTGTCCAATCAGCTCTGGCTGGACATTCCAGCATCCTTACATGCACATATCCATTTATGCACGTTGGTAGTTCATGTCTCATTGACAGCCATCATCTCTCTAAAAGCTACTCCTATGAGACAGACTGGACGACCTACAGTACAGCACTTCACAGGAGACCATCTCTCCAATGATCTAGCAGCACCCTATGACATCAGGGAGCAACATGGCTGTACTGTACTAGCCACTGCCACTGGGAGGTCCTGGGGTACTCTAGGTACTCTGAGGCCTTAATATATGAGCAGGAACTCCGTCGTCAGAGGAAGTTAGAGTTCCATTTACGGGAGCTATTAGGTGTTTTGGCAGTGCTGCCAACAAGCTGGTCTGTCCTCTGCTGTAGCTTCACCTACCAGGCAGGGCCACTTACTGACCTAATGGAATCCCCTGGAATCCTCACCCGCTCCTGAGTCCTGGGTCCTGACCTGGCTCTGAGTTGTGGCTTTTTTCAAACAGAGTTCAGGGGCTGTCAACATTGGCTTATAGAAATGCTGTGCAAAGTGTAGGAAACAGGTACACTGGGTAAACTCTGTACATCTAGCTTTGAAAGGAGGTTGGGATGGGATGGCTGGAGCAACATAGGGTTTTTTTCAGTGTCAAGAGGCCTGTTTCTTTTGAGCTCCTTTGTTTTCACTCATACGGTAAGAGTACATATGAATGTGGTTTTAAAAAGGTTGTTAATTGTTGTAGACATATTAAAGATGTCAGCTCTAATATTATTTATATTCTTTGTTTATTCTCTCTCTTTCTCTTTCTCTCTCAGGTTCACTCTATATGCTGTGGATAGTCGAGGGAGTCGTTCAGAGTCTAGCTTCGTCTCAGTTCGGACCTCTTGTCCCATGGTAGACGACAGCAGAGCAGAAGGTACTCCTTCTCACACTCCCCTTTCACACTTCATTTTCTCTTGCTATACTCTGTCCATCCCAAAACCTTTACACATCCATCCCTATCTCTCTCCAATAGACAATATCACTTTTTTATTCTTATTTTATTTATTTATTCTAGCACCAGAGTTATCACCAGCACCTAGGTTTTACTTGTGATAGTGATCTTGGGTTGACTTGCCCACCTTAATTTGATATCCTTATCCCAAGATCACCTGTGTCTTTCAAATGAGTGTCTTCCAAATGACTTCTCCCCTCTTCGTCCTCCTCCTGTGTCAGAGATAGCAGACAAGGTGTATAACCTGTACAATGGCTACACCAGCGGCAAGGAGCAGCAGACGGCCTACAACACTCTGATGGAGATTCCGCCTCCGCTGCTTTACAGGGTGCAGCACCACTACAACTCCCACTATGAGAAGTTTGGAGACTTCGTCTGGCGGAGCGAAGACGAGCTGGGACCCAGGTAAGGCTTGGAAAGGCTTGGACACTTCTCAGGTGTCACTGTGATTCTGGTGTCCCCACAACATCTGGTGTCACCTTTTGCTTGGCATCAGTGTCACTTCAAATGTCATCTTCCGCTGTCTGTGTGGGAAGTATCTTAGAAAATGGTGACATGTTGTTTTCTGTGTCCAAAGGTTCCTTGCTGTGGCGCAGATAAAATATTTAATTTGTAACAGATTCTCCCATTGGCCCACAGATTTCAGGTAGAAGTCACAGTCTACCTAATTGGTCCAGATACTTAATCTGTTACTAAGTTTACCTATTTGAGCTAGCAGAACTGCAGTGTTTATGATCATGAAGTAAAAAGGCAATAATCACTAACATTCTCAAGAATGTCTTGGGGTTCTAGGCAGCCTTTGCCAAAAAACCCATGATCGTTTTCACCATCATCTTCAGTTTTCTGAAATGTTTAATCTTTCCATTCCAGTGGATTTGAGAACGGTCGCCTTCCAACCCTGTAACATGAAGTTGTTTTTACAGAAGTCTCATATATCAAGTCAATAATTTGAATGTGTCGGTTACTATAACTCCATTGTTTCTTCATCCATCTTCAAAAAGGTGGATCATGCCTGTAGACACACGTAGACATACACACACCTAACATGTGCATGTATTCATACCCTCACAGACGTGCACCACACACATATACGTAAGCACACAGACACACATGCACACACATGCATGTAAAAACACACACGCACACATACACTCTCTCTCTCACACACACATACACACACACGTGCAAACCACACGAACACACAAACACCCTGGTCAGCAGTAATTTTGGACAGCAAAATATTGGTTTAGGCTTTCGCTGCAAATTCAGGCCCATAAAACCAATCATGAACAGGTTTGTTCCATTGGAGTACCATCTTATAAGGACATAAATCTCATTAAATAATCCACACGCCATATATTTTCATTTACTCAAGTTCATCAGATATTTTTATTTCCTCTCATTTACCTTTTTATCAGATTATGGACCCAATTGGTGACTGGACAAGTGCTAAATCTACAAATTACAGCCTTATTATTACAAGGGAGCCTAGGGCGTAGCCAATGGTCTTGGGCACATGGAATGGGAGTGGCCCGGTGTTGGCAGTTCACGAGTGTTGCGGTTAATAGGGACTGCACTGTTTGTGTATAGTGTGGAATACTCATTCATAAAACCAACTTCTCTGGTTACCCGTAAAGGCCTGAAGCCCCCAGTAAACGCAGGAATGATTTCATAACCACGTCAGGAAAGCGTTGCTCCGATTCCCCGGGCTAGGACTCTTTACCCACACAGAGCTGGAGGACTAGACTGAACCCAAGGGCTCCTTTCAATCCAACCTGCACTGGCGTATTTGCGGTTTTGTTTTCTACAAGTGTTTTCTAAGAGTTTGCAGTGGTCTCCTGGAGCCAATGAGAAGCCGTTTTTTCCTGTGAATGATTACCCAATCAACCAATTGAGAAGCCTATATTTCTCATGATTAGCCAGTCAACTGATTGCTTACTGTTTAATTTGGAGTTAACCCACAAGCTCCCTAAACTCAATAAAAGCTTAAACTTTTGAATCATATGATTGATAAGCATACAAATGCTCAGTTGACCTGAAAAGACCAGGGAAAATATGTAGTATGAGGGCTGAATCCAAGGCATTTGGATGACTGACAGTGTACTGTTATTTACTCCCTGAAATTGGCAGGGCAGGGCCTTGTTGGGTTATGTGCACATGACATTCACTTCTGACATTCGCATCAATCAGGGTAAGATTTCACATCAATCGCTTTAAGATTATACAGGGATTGATGTGAGATTTGCATAAGATTTATGAGATGCGTTTACGACTTCATGTGTGTCCTCAGAATGGGCAGTGTAATGTATTTGCTATCTGTTGTTATGGGGGTTCAATGGGGTTCAATACACATTGGGCTGGTAGTGTCTGGCTCGCTCTCCTTTAGATGATAGCACTCAAGACCAGGCATTATCTACTGGGACTGCCTGGGGATCCAGGGTATCACCAAACTAATGGCATTCATGTCATACCAGGCATGTGTGTGCACGCAAACACATACACACACACACACACACACACACACACACACACACACATACCCAGACCTCCACTCGCTGCAATTATCCATTATGGTGGTCTTCCAGCCTTACAGGGCTAGAATAGAGATTACGTTTATAGACAGATGTAGACAATGCATGTGTCATACTCATCTTGAGTTGTTGGCACTTAGAACTGAAGGGTACTACAGACACGTACAAATGGTATATCCTTTTCTCTCTACCAATTCAACGTCCTGGTACAGCATTTTTTCAATATAGCATAAAAGGCTAAAATAACTTTTGAATGTCCAAATCTATAAACACTTCTATGTACAGTATGTGGTCTGTTTATGTGTTGGTTTGTTTGATAACTATTGTCATTAACAGTTATTTAACTCTTACATAACGAAGGTATAGATGTCCCCATTGACTTTTGAAGATTAGGGCATTTGGGTTTTCCTGTCTTTGCATGCCTTCTGTAAGCAGAAGCCGAGTTGTGCAATCAGCCTTTTTTAAGTGTTTCTTTGGGGAAGCGAATTGGTAAGGTCAGCTTTGACTATGAGGTTACATACTTGTTTCGAATTACAGCCCCTATGCCAAACACCACTCTTACGCCAAGCCAAACACTACATTTGACAGTCAACGAACACTAACTAAACTTTCAAGTCCATTTCCTCCTCATTCTCATAAAGATTTCCTGCTGACCCCCGCCTCGGTCTGCCCCCCGAAACAGACCACCCCCGACAAAGCAGTTTTATGTGAATAGACACAGGGGACATTAGCATGAAATGGAGATGGAAAAACTACCGGCTGAAAAAAAGAAAATATTTGGACAGACTCCAGGTTAGGACTCCAGCAGTTCAATAGTTTTGCGATGATGGCAACATTGGGTTTAAAGTTTCAGGCCCCGTGTTTTGTTTTGTCCACATCCATTGCCTGGAAGCGCTCTCCGGCAGCCATAAATAATATCATACATTTGGAAAAAGTTTGTCTTAAAGGAAGATTATGTTTTTTCTTTATTCTGTGATTTGGAAAGGGAAGGTGGCTTTTGCGGGGACCGAGGGGGAGATTAGGGAGTATGTCGGACTCCTGAAGAAGGCATTTGGATGACTGACAGTGTAGGATTATTTACTGCCTGAAATTGGCAGCGCAGGGCCTTGTTGGGTTAATATATGAGCCGGCTCTATTAGTGGTGCCTTTTTAAAAGGTAACAGTGTGGCTAAGTGAAATGTGAGCACTCAGCATTTACTCACTATGTCAGGAGATCTGAGAGACTGACGGAGTTACACTGAGACCCAGCCACCGACCGCTAGCATTGTAGCATTGTAGCATTGTCACAGTCAGCTCTTACAGTCGCACAACCGCACATATTTCTTGCTCTCGCCATACTCTACATGTACTGTACAGTGTGTTTATATCGATGCATTAGGTAAATTGTGCTCAATGTTATTGTATGTCTTTATGCAGGTTGTTTTTCTGCTTTGGTTTCCATACAGATATAGGATCTTAATTTGAGCCAGTTTGCTACAGCAGGAAAATAATCCTGCAGCAAGAGGAAATGTGAATTATTATGTGGATTATAATTAATGGAATTTTTTTTAGGTGTTGATACATTTTTCGTAAGGAAAAATCAAGTCTGAAAATGTCAAAGTAGAAATTACAAACCTCAAATACACTGCAAGTTTTACATTTCCTGCATTGCAGGAAAGGTCTTCTGCAACAGGGTGATCAAATTAAGACCCTACATCTGTATGTATTCATATTCAGTCATTTCTGCTGTAGCAACAGTTTCGCACAAATCTTGAGTGTTTTATTCTCTTGGAAAGGTGCTATTGGCTTACGTTACTCTATTGTATTTATTGGATGAAACAAATGGGTTCTATTCACAATTGTATGATCATCTTACACCATCCTGATAAGATAAATGAATACAGCTGGAACCAAACAGAAAGGGCTGCCTCTCTGGTACTGTATCTTTAGGACTTTGTGAGTTATGATCTCCAATATGAACCTCTCTTGATGAATATGTAGGCATTATTAACCCCCAGTCTTCAATTCACCCTCTTGCACGAGGCCCACTTGCTCATATGTTTGGTGTTATGTTGTTCTAGGCAGTGGAATTTGAAGAAAGAAATAAGGAAAAAAGGTTGCCCTTTTTCTAACAAGCAAGTGAAAAGGTTGTCTGTGCTCCTAGCTTAACCAAAGACTGATGCTGATGCTTAACAGACACCCACTTCTCCAAACAAATGGAAAATGCCTCTATCTATTTTTGATATTTGTATCTGTTCATTTCAACCTAACAACATTCAAGACACATCACACAGAAGAGGTGAGAATGAAGTATGTGAGAATGTCGAGTACTGTAAGGGAATGAGTCCAAGTGTGTTTGTGTGTGCACATGTGTGCGTGCGCACTGTGTGCGCTGCCTGTGTGTGTGTGTGTGCGCGTGCATGCACGCTTACAGCAGTTTATCTGCCTGTCCTGTCTACCTTGAGCTGGCCTCTAACATACCCCCCTCTCGCCAGCGACATGAGCAGGCTGCCAACACACACTGGAGACAGACCTCCTCTCTACTCTAGTCTGGAATTCAATCAAACCTGCTCTGCAACTAACCCACACTGCAGATACACATGAATGAACCTGTTCGTTTTCTAGACTGCTGTTGAATAATTATTCGAGAAAATAATAGTTACAAGTTAATGTGCAGGTAAAGTAGTTTGCCAAGTTCCTGCAGTGGTGGCGGTGATGAGGAGGAGGAGGAGGAGGATGATGATGATGTTGGTGGTGGTGATGATGAGGATGGGGGCACGGGGCATGGCTAATTATATACACTACGGTACAATACTTGCCTTATTGGTCCATTTGCATGGATATTCTTTAATTATTGCTGCCACATTACCCAACCTGACAAAAAACACACACACATCACAGGCTGCCATAGCAGCGCCCCTGGAGCAAATAGGGCCTTGCTTAAGGGCACAATGGCAGTAGATAGTATATAGGATGTTGAAGCCTCCAGTTGCCGGCTCACTCCCTGCAAATTTCTCCCCAGCCAGCTCGGGGATTCGAACAGGCAATCCTCTGGTTACCCTGTTATTACTGAGCTGTAAAGGGTGAAGTGCTACCGGTATTTAAATCACCATGAAGAAGAAAAAAAAATTAAAAAATGACAACACTGCTGATGCTGACATTAATACTAATGATGACTGTTATGCATCTCTCCCCCCCTAGAAAAGCCCACCTGATCCTGCGCAGGGTGGAAAGGATCAGCCGGTACTGCCGTGCCCTGCTCCGCAGCGCCTACATCCAGAGCCGCACCGACACCATGGCCTACATGTTCTGTCGCAGCGAGGAGGTTCAGCCCCCTAGCAGCGTGTGGCACGGCTCCCTGCAAGAGACCCGCACCGCCTGCATGGAGAAACTGATCTCAGTACAGCGCAACACATACGGCAACGCCAAGCTCCGATGAGACAGGCCGCGAGACGACACCACGACAGCCTCCTCCTCCTTGCTTCTGGTCTCTCCACTGACTGGTGTTTTTCCAAACCAGGAGAGCCCTGAAACCTCAACCCGACTGTACATTGTTAGAATAATTACTGTCAAACGCCCTCAAATCCTTTTTTGAAATTAGAAGAATTTGCTAAGAACAGCTTGAAGAGGAAAGACGTTTTGGATATACATGCCAGTGACTACTGACCACTACTATCAATGAGGAGGAGCGGTGTGAGCATGTACATTATCATTCAACCCAAAGCAAATTGGTTAGCAAAAAAATACTGAATGTAATATTGCAGTTTCTCATGGTGCTTCGACTCTGGAAGCTTACCAGGGAAACAAACAAACAAACAAAAAACAACTCCCTGTATGTCTCTCCTCTTGGCTGGAGCGACGGGAAGTACACCATTAAGAGTGGTATTGGCATTTAGGTTTTATTTTGTTCATTTGTAATACTTGCGCATATCACCACTTTAACAATGCTTTATATTCTTTTTACAGCAGACAACATAGTGTTTATAATGAAGACTACAAAGAAATCATTCAAGCTGGACTGTGATGTTATCAGCTGTATCGTACGGTGTGTGAGTAACGCTTGGCAGTTAGAAAAGTCCTTAACTAGCCATGTTTCATTTTCTGTTTGTTTGTTTGTGGCTGTTTATCTCCTCAGATGTTGACAGACGTGGAGAGCTCCGAAACCGCAGGGAAAACACATCTTTAGTCCATTAATATGGTCATCTGGTAAACAAAGGTGAAGAAAAGAGAAAAGCAAACATTTTTATAGGAAAATCTTTTAAAGAATTTTAAAAGTTTATGCTAAATGTATGGATTGTTTGATTGTATGGATCTTTTAGGATCCCTTCCTTCAAGGAAACTTTTACTTGACTTTCCATCGCTCAATAGCGATGGAAATAAAAAACCAACTCATTGTTTTTTAATTGATTTTCATTTCATGTTATATCAATTGTGATAGTAAATTATTATATTGTAAATATGAAGTTGTAAATAACATATGTATTATTATGTGGCTTTGATTGTCTTTTTTCGAAAGAATGTGAAATATTAAATACTATATCACAAGCATCAGCATTCTTTTCCACAGTAAGGAGAAAGTAGCTCTGTTCAACCAATTGATTCACATCTGCAGCATAGGCTACACTACAGTCCATGGGTTGGAGAGAAATTGAAAGATTATAATGAACCCAAAACACATGCATTCTCTGATGGAATTATTCAAATACAACAGCTGCAAATGTGAACTTGTATGTAATGTCCCTCAGGATTACATGTGAACACTTTCCTACAACAGCTAGCCCTTCACTCTGCTTATGGTAGGTAAGTAACAACATGCACAGGAGGTTTTCTACCGTCATTACTGACCCTTTATACTAGTGGACCTCGTACAAAATATTTACATTCATTTCCAAGGGGTAAAATCTCTCGCTCTCTGTGTGTGTGCTGGGAAACATTCTCTTTTTCCATCTCCACGCCACAAACTATTCCTTTACACTCCAGTCTCTTTCCACTCATGCAACATTAACTGTGCTTTAAGAATCAGTAGCCTGATGTTCATTCTCGCAAATTAGGTCGTTAATGTCACTGGGGTGCCAAGAACAGCGCTCAGGTTTCCATGTCAAGGAATGAAGGCCCTAAATTTGAATTCACACTTCATTCATTACTACTGTTTTGATAGTAGCTTTAACATTTTCATATCCATAAAATCTAATTGAGGATGTCCAGGTGAGTAACACTTCAATGCATTTTAAGGTAAACATCAGGGGGTCATACAATGCAAGGTTTGTAGTATTATCTCTAGGAAATTGGCTATCTACGTCATCTATAATATTAGACAAGGTTATCATGAGCCATGTAAGGCAAAATGTCAGGTTATATGTAGAAACTGATCTTTAAAAAAATAATGTTTTGGAAACTTGTAAAGGAGAAATGGACAACACTGCCTTGGCTTACGTTCACTTAACCAGTGTTTTATTTCTACACAATACATGACAGGGAAATGAACATGATAGTCATCTTGAATGAGGATCCACCCTTATGAAAATATAGTACACATCATCAGACACCTGCTTGCCATGTATCAGAGCACCGGAAATATAATACAGAGAGAGAGAGAGAGAGAGAGAGAGAGAGAGAGAAGGGTATTGATGGGTACCTTTACAGTTCTAAATCCAAGGAAAAGGTGGAAAGAGTAAGCAAATATCTGTGGTATAGAGGAAGGATAGGTGAGGTGGTGTTTGGTTGGTGCCATTCATTCCATGAGGGTGAGTTCAAGCGCAATGGTGTTCACTGTTATGCAACGGGTGGGTCTAATCCTGGATGCTGATTGGTTAAAACAGCATTCCAGCCGTTGTCTATTCCACAAGTTACTACCGGCTAAAGCTATGGCATTAGAATGCCTATTTACTCTGTTCCATCTCACTGCGCAATCCATTGTCTCATCAGCCCAGCCAGGCAATTTATAAACTTGATCTCCACTGTGAAAAGCATCTAGACATTATCTCCCATTTCTTTTAGACTTGCATTTGGTTTTCAACAGTGGAGATTTGTATAAATCTTGCTATCTGTCTCTCCGACATTTGCAACATTGTTTCAATATTGAAATTCGACCTCCAGCTGTCCCATAGTAATAACGTGTCGGCAGTCAGGATGAGACAGACAGGCTGACAGCTTTTCTCAGCCAGGCGAAATCATGAATCAGCTGGCATAATTTTTATGGATATATACAAAGAAATGTCAATAGAAAGCAGGTCAAACGAAACGAAATGCAGCTAGTTTGCAGTCTTTCCAGCTTCAGTTTGAAGTGATTGTGTTAGCTGTGTTGTTGGCTAGCTCCTCAAACAACAGTGTCCTGACGAGAGAGCACATTTTCGATGCCAGGCGAAATCACGCATCATTAGCTCTTAGATTTGTGTCGGGACTATATCTCGTGGAAGGATGAAATAGTATGAATAAATTCATCAAAATAAAGTTTTTTATGAAAATATGCCAATCATTATTTGAATATGTTGGTAACCCGTTGTATAAAAGTGATAATGCCCTCGAAGCCGGTGTTTGGAGGATATAGTGGCACAAGACCCGTGCCAATATATCCTCCAAACACCGGCTTCTCTGGCATTATCACTTAATTAGAATCCTCCAAGTCTGATAGTAAGAATGTGTTGTAACATGATATTCTCTTCAAATGAATGCTTTCCTCTAGTTTTGTTTGTTTTCTCTCCCAAATTTTTGTATTTTCAACTGACTGATCTGAGACCCAGAAACTGACCACATTACGCTTTATTCATCTTGACAACAAATAAATTACGTTTGACTTCGTATATAACTTTTTTAAGACAATTGACAACAGTGTTTGTATAAAGCCTTTGTTGTGAAGCATTATGGTATTGTATTATTTTGAACTTTCAGGTGGTACTTCGATGGTACACAATGCACAATGTATCTTTCTTATATTGCCTCTGATAAAAACCCAAGAGCTACCCCGAACAGATACATGGTTTTGCCAATACAATCATCATAGAATATAATTATTTACATCTTAAAATATATATGCTGAACAATCGGGTACGAAACATTGCAATAATACCACTAGATATCCACATAATATGTATATACTAGATTTGATACTTTTCCACTTAGAAAAGGACCATTCATTTTTCATTTCTGTGCGCGGGAATAAGAAATAAACACAAGTGGACCATTCTTTAATCAGGAGCCTGTGAGAGGTACTTGATGAGTGAAGTTTACAAAGAAAACTAAAATAAGAACATGATGGCACATCAGTGTTTTTTCCACAACGGTTTGTCCACAAACTCAAGGGCTACAGCCAGACACCTCTAGGCTACCACTGTCTCCATAGCTTCCCATGGGTTATGGTGGGATGCCACAGCGGCTGAAAGGCTACTGCTTTTAGCAAAGCTAGCTAACGTCACAGAATTTCAACTGTTTACTCATGGCTGGTATGTACAGTGGGGAAAAAAAGTATTTAGTCAGCCACCAATTGTGCAAGTTCTCCCACTTAAAAAGATGAGAGAGGCCTGTAATTTTCATCATAGGTACACGTCAACTATGACAGACAAATTGAGATTTTTTTTCTCCAGAAGATCACATTGTAGGATTTTTAATGAATTTATTTGCAAATTATGGTGGAAAATAAGTATTTGGTCAATAACAAAAGTTTCTCAATACTTTGTTATATACCCTTTGTTGGCAATGACACAGGTCAAACGTTTTCTGTAAGTCTTCACAAGGTTTTCACACACTGTTGCTGGTATTTTGGCCCATTCCTCCATGCAGATCTCCTCTAGAGCAGTGATGTTTTGGGGCTGTCGCTGGGCAACACGGACTTTCAACTCCCTCCAAAGATTTTCTATGGGGTTGAGATCTGGAGACTGGCTAGGCCACTCCAGGACCTTGAAATGCTTCTTACGAAGCCACTCCTTCGTTGCCCGGGCGGTGTGTTTGGGATCATTGTCATGCTGAAAGACCCAGCCACGTTTCATCTTCAATGCCCTTGCTGATGGAAGGAGGTTTTCACTCAAAATCTCACGATACATGGCCCCATTCATTCTTTCCTTTACACGGATCAGTCGTCCTGGTCCCTTTGCAGAAAAACAGCCCTAAAGCATGATGTTTCCACCCCCATGCTTCACAGTAGGTATGGTGTTCTTTGGATGCAACTCAGCATTCTTTGTCCTCCAAACACGACGAGTTGAGTTTTTACCAAAAAGTTCTATTTTGGTTTCATCTGACCATATGACATTCTCCCAATCCTCTTCTGGATCATCCAAATGCACTCTAGCAAACTTCAGACGGGCCTGGACATGTACTGGCTTAAGCAGGGGGACACGTCTGGCACTGCAGGATTTGAGTCCCTGGCGGCGTAGTGTGTTACTGATTGTAGGCTTTGTTACTTTGGTCCCAGCTCTCTGCAGGTCATTCACTAGGTCCCCCCGTGTG